TTTCTACTCTAGCGACGATTCTCTATGGAAGAGCTTCCATGACAAGGCTAGTGAACTATCACACTATGACTCGACATAGAACCCGATGACGCTCGCTTACCCAACGATTTCGCCGAACGTTTAGCATTGCCTTAGCTGGCTCTTAGTAGGGACATTTTATGCGTTGCGGCTCTTCGTAAAATCAGCAACAACAAAAGTTTAACGTTTGAAAGACTGGCGCCCCCCCAACGCCATTTTTCATCATCACTCGCTGTTGTATCGTTATTGCTATTGAAGTTTTTAATAAAGACGAAAGCTTTCCTGAAAAGCGACTGTGTTTGACGTCTTCGGCGTCTTTTCACGCGACACTTTTCTGTTTCTGCGTTCCACCATTGAAGCACTGATGCGACGTTGCCAGAACAGTGGGGTAGGGCAGTGGAGTACCATGGTCCGAGGCAGATAGGGGATCTGGAAGTGATGACAGATGCTGAAGTCGTAGGATAATAGCCTTCAAGGAAAGCTAACTCTGACTGGAGCGATGACCACAACACAGCGTTTGTTGACGTCCCGTGGTTTGCCGAATGTACGAAGAAGGCATGAGTGCTACGGTCAGCCATTGCGACCATAATAATAATAAAAGAGCGAACCTTGAGATACTAATGCAACTAGAGATAGACTGATCAAATCAAAAGTCTAATAAATATCAGAACGGAGCCTGTGATTTACTCTCTTGACAGAAATTATAAATGCACATAGCTGCAATCCGCTGTAACAAACATTGCACCGCAGCACAATTGCTTATACATATATCTGTATATCTTTATTAAATGTCTTAATTAGACATTGCACTTCCAGCGCGTAAAGTAGTATTATTATAGCATAGAGCAGTTAGTAAGTAGTTCTTCCAAGTTCTACGATGCTACGGCGGGTGCATAGCGGCCCAGCAGAAACACAATCTAGCGGTCAGGAGTGGCGTAAACCACTATTAACTGCACGAAGGAATATTTGCTCCTGCTATTGCGATGTGATAGTGCGCTAGTCCCTCGTTGTAGCGACCCTTCCGTTCATTTTTCTTCAATTAACTTTTACGATCGCACAATTACTACCTCACTGCTGGTAAGATTATATATATATATATATGAATACGACGAAAACTCGTCAGTACTTTTACCGACAGAAATCTGTCTGCATTTTACCATAGGCAGATTGGTTGCGTTGTCGTCATTTGTCCGGTTGTCCGATCGTTCTTTGGGCAGCAGCTGTCAATAACATTCAGCAATTGTATCAGCACTTGTGCAGTCGTCGTCGTCGTCGTCGTCGTCGCCGCCGTCACAATGATCAAACCACGCTACGTGCAGTCGTCAGTCAGTCAGCTAGCTAGCAATCGGCGTTAGTTACCCAAACGGCAGCGATAGAAGCGGCGGTAAAAGTGGTAGACTGTATCCTTGCAGTCATCCGCGATAGTGACACCTTGAAAGTAAGCAGGCAGGCAGGCAGGCAGGCAGGCAGGCAGGCAGGCAGACAAAATACACGAACCAACCCGTTCTTAGCTAAAGCTGTTTCATCGACTGATCATGTTACCTTCGAAGGAGCTGGAGGCAAAGGGGACGGGGTGGCATAGGGCCTCTTGGGGGTAATCGTACTTGCTACCGTTGTTGTTCTGTTTGCTGCTGCTGCTGCTGCTGTTGTTATTGAGATTATTGCAGGAAATACGACGTGACACAGAATCTCACCAACCGTTATCAGCAATAAGAGCAAAAACAGTATAACCAGAACTTTGCAACGAAGTAATCACGGACAACACATAAAAATCAGGTTGCAGACAAATTATGATGAACATTCCACTTTTATGGGTATTGTTTTTACATTAGAATGTTATTAGAGCACTATTTTTTTGGCGAGGTAGTGAGACTAGGTGAACAACACTTCAGCGTCGCGCAATAGAGCATTACCTCAGCACGAGTCATATAGAGAAACGGGTCGAGTCCTGGGGTGGGGAACAGTGCAGGGGTCCTATTGTTGTGATGTGTGGCAAATAGGTGCTTCTTCTGGACATGGCGTCTATTGACGACAATATGAAACTTACAAACGCAGTAAGTACTCACAAAGTGAGAGAAATAGATCAATACTAATCTATAACGTTTGGCGGCTTTTACGAGGCGAACCGATTTATTTCGTCTGCCCCATAACGGTAAATGCACAAAGGAGTCAAAAGGAAGACTTGCGCCAGGACAAGGTATTTTAATCGTTGGAAAAAATGAGTAAATTTCCGCTTAAACCGTTGCTAACAGTTCGTTTACGGTGAATGATCATTCATCGGGAACGTATATATTGTACTCAATTAATAAGTATAATATAAATGTACCAAATGGATAGGTACAGTTAACGCTGTGCACAAAACCAGCGAAGTGAGCGCAACCTAATTTTATATAGTAATGTAGACTTTAATAAGATCTTTTTCATCACTGTTGCTATTATCACCGTTAGTATTACTATTATTATCATCGACGCGTCTCTTCCAGCAATTTTAGATCGAGTGATCAATCCAACCGTCAATGTTTCAACTGTCCACCCGACGACCCGTTCGTCGAAAACGCGCCCTTGCTGATGTATACGAAATTGCAGGACATTTTCTATCTATCGATATATCAGTAATATTATGGTTACGTTGTAACCATACACCGGGGCAAAATGTGCCCAAGAGTAGGTGGGCCTTCGGTCAGAAGAGGCGAAAACATGAAAAGGCACCATCGATCTCGACGGTCTGAGCGGTCCAAACAGAACACAGTTCATCTAAATCAATATAAATACACTTTGTGGTAGGAAATATTGACCTGTCTTCGGGTAATAATTCTGTTACTTGATTTAGGATGTAGGTAACGTGCACTTTGCGAAATCATCGATCCTCGAAAATTTTTTTTTTTATAATATTTCAGTTATTTATTCATTATCAACGAGGTTTTACTCTCCGACCTCGAAGTTACCTCTCTTTTCCTACTTCACATTAATTGATGCTAGACAACTATTATATATAAAATACAAGTAAAAAACCGTGGGCCAACGAAAACCTATTGCTACTTTAATTTGTCCGGTGGTCAAACGAATGCTTTTTGCGGCATCTACTTGTGTACAAATATGTACGTAGCATTTTTGCAACGAAATTTAAACAATACGACGATTGCTCCTGGAGTAGGCATTCTTCTTGTTTGACGAATATTTTTTTCCATCGAAATTTATTATCCAAGTATCATCATGAGAGCGTCGTAGTTCTGTTCTTCACGATAGCCGGTCTTTGCATTCATTAGTACGTAGTAGTTACTAGCTAGTCGAATGAAATCAGTAGAGTGTTCTAAGGGTTAAAAAAGCTTCTCGAAAAATACAGCTCCCAATTGAAATATTTGTTAAAGAACATAGGGAAATTTTGCGTTCGACGAAAACGTGGGTGTGAACAAACGATAATCTAATAACAATCGGAACTCCTCTATTCTCTTCTCTAGCGGAGGAATTCTATCTCCGCTATAGAAGGGGCCAAGGAAAACCCAAATGATAGCCCCGTAGATATTACACGGCGCTAATTTCTAAACCACAGCAATTTTTCCAAGCACCGAAAAACTACCACGTGTGGATACCATTAAAAAGGCTGATAAGGCTTAAGATCTTATGCAAATAAAGAAGCGTTTTTTTTTTTTATTTGATGGTCCCAGAGATACTGTACATGCGCCAGTATTACTATTGATGATAGATACCTAATGCTCGCCGGTGACAGCAGCAATGGCACTTTAATACGGCATCGTCATCGGAATACGCATCACGGAAAAACGTCTGTAGTTTTCTACAATAAGCGTAGTAGTATCTTTTGAGGTGAAAGAAAAGGCAATATCGATGCGCCTATGGGCAGGGGACGGATTTTATGCAAATAAAAAATGGCGGTAGCGGAAGATCAAATCAAGCTGCTAAATGAAGCAAAATGAAACTATAGTCAGAACGGCTGCAAGTAATCGAAAGACTGAATGCAGTGGAATAGGAGTAGACGCGAAGTGACCCATGTTATTCGGGCTCGAAGACATAGTTAGAAAGCTTATTTACAGTCATCTACGTTATCTTTACCATGTTGTCCCAACTCTGCTTTTATTTTGTTCCCTAAATTGCTTTCATGACACCTCTTAATGTATAGCGTGCGCCGGCTATCCTATCAAAGATGACCAAGTGGGATCTAGTAAAGGGGTCTGCAGTTATTTGTGGACATTCGAACTCTGGGATATCACTGTCTTTCCAATGAAATACTATAGCAACGGGTGTCGACCCGCTAGAATTCGAAATGCTTCTTTGTAAACCCTACTACTAATAACATTCTAACTAAACTATTCATGTTGATCAATTTCGCCAGGACCAGACAGGTCGGTCTTATAAGAACTATTTTCATCGGAATATCTTTACTTACATCGATTACAATGAAATACGTAATATTATGGGTATTAATTATTGATGTGGGCGCGTTAACGGGTGTCGTTCTTTCTCTATGCCAAATTCTGATATGTGGAAAAGTAATTAATAAAGTGATTGAGACATACAAACGCTAGATATAATACGAAAACGTTAATGACAATCATAAACAAATTGAACGATCTATCGATCCTCGGCGGGGTTATTACAAGCGTAAAAGCAATATTGACTTATAATTATTTTGATAGCCGTTGTCACGTTCTGTAATGATGGTTTCATGATAAGCAATCGAAGGAAGCAAAAGTGTTGCACGCTCATCGATGGCAGGTTCTCTGCGATAATCTTTTGCGCGCTGGTTCGAAATTTCAACAGTGTTTTTGGTCTATTTTCCATATAAAACACAACATAACTGACTGGGCCTAATATTAGGGCTGACTCAGGACACAATGCTATATTTATCGCAAATGCAGTTCCGCCCATAAAGGGATTATTTGAGTAGTATACAAAGAAAGGAAACGAACAAAACATTTTCTGAGATTAACTTAGCGGTTGTATCTTCTTTGTTCTCTGCCTTTCAGAAATGTCGAAACGAAGATTTCCTATTACCTGAATCTTGAGGTAAGTTATCTGCTATTCTCCATTATGACTACATACGAAAGAGATGGTTCATATGAGCGTCCAGTATGTTCTAATATACAGTGAATGTCCAATTATAATTATTTAATATCGGCACAGCGCTTATATTTATGAGAACTTCCGCGTACGTTTTTTTTTCGAACTTCTTTCCGGCGTCATTATACGCATCTTTACTGCTCTGAAAAATGCCGCCCTTATTGACCGGTATAGCATCGCAGCTACTAGACGATGGCAGAGGCTGACCGTTTTCATTGCAATGTTGTTGCCAGACTTTTCCAAATGGAAAGAAGTGCTAGGAACGACCTCGAGTTGCTTTCCTAATTGTTTTCCTCATATTGCACATTTCTGTGCTGTTAGCGCACTCATGGAGCCACATCATCAAATGGTCTTCTATTGGAGATATCTACATAGTCAAAGCAAACAATGGCGAGCTTTTTGATAGGATTAGATTACCGTTGTCTGTCAAGATGCAAGCATGTTAATTTTACAGACATCGCAACATGTCCGCTTGATTTGACAACCCATGTTCTTCCCCCCCACCGCCTTTCGTTTTTACAATAGTTAACGTGCAATGAGGCAACTTCGCTAACTAAGAAGGCATGCGTGGGGTAGGATAGTTAGGTTATCTTGCGGCGCCAATAAGATAGTTGTGGCGGCGGACTTCGGCATTCGTCACCTAAACAGACGACGACCCGTTCCCATCCACTGTCAGGTACTTCTCCGTAAGCGCGCCGATATGGGGTTATTATAGTATATGCTTAGGGCACAATTTTAGCTGCCTAGCAAATCTGAGATGCTTTTTTTATCGCTCATACTTGCTTCTTCTGTTGCCAGTTGTGCTATTGCTCCAAGGTGCCATTATGGCTGCTCCGCAAATCCTACACAATGGCCTGAATGTATTACACATTTAACAGTTAGTTGACGTAGAGTAGGATCACTGCAAATGGGGGGTGACAACAAGCTAGCCAGTCTAGTTGATGTTTGTCTTGATAGCAGATTTTGAGCTTTGATACATAAATGCTCACATTTTGCTTAATAATTTGCTCAGTATTCAAACTGAAATCTCTATATATAACACATTATATACACGAGCAGGTGTATTTAGCATCAAACAGCGAAAACGTTGTGATTATGTAAAAGTTTACTTTAGAGTCAAGTTTTGTTACATGCTGTAACTTCAACCAGAACCTTTGCATGGCCTAGCGCCGTTATATCGGTTCTTTTATGCATGTCGGGTTTTTCAGTAGTAAATTAGGTATGTCATCCACCATCGGCCCATATATCAGTGTAACAGGTCGTATCCGTTTGCGGGTTTTGACGGAACAAAAAAAAACAATAACACAGCAGCAATCGTAAAGTAAGGGTAGCAGTCAGTCGAGTGGGTCACGCCGTGATGGGCGCTATCGATGACAGGGCACTTCGTTGGGAAGGGGCTTTGATGGTGGCACAGTCCTGATCCCTGATGCCTTTTCTTCACCGACTTCGAACACGTAAATAGAAAGGCGCACAGATAGCGCAGATCGCACAGATCGACATGCCACGCAAGCAAAGCGTCCTTGGCGAACTTTGCGGCATTTCGCGGCCGACAGTCGCCGCAGACGCGTGGACCAAAAATTGCCTGTTCACGATGTCCGGATAACATGCCGAGCGCCGCCAGATGGCGCTTGCCGTAAGCGGCAGTGGCGGGATGATCGGGCCGGTTTTATCGAATAGAGAACGATGTGTGTTGTCTCCTGATAAATAGCGTTACCTATAATCGTTGCGAGAAATTAAACGTACAATATTTGTTTTCCTTATATAATGATATCGTAGTATTTTTCTATACTTCTTTACTGCGTTAGTTAAGACACATTTATCTCAGCTAATTCATGTCATGCGACGAAACAATTTTATATGTCAGAGTCATCATCTGCGTAGAGTTTTGTAGTTCCTAGGAGCAAGCTCCATTTGAATGGCGAGGAATCAAGTGAAATCGACATGTCGCTTTACTTAGGTAGACATTGGTTCATTGCCCAGCGTAATCTGTCAACAAACATCATTGCTAGCAGTACTACTAACGCCATCTAGTGGGCAGCACAATGCAGCTCACTTGACGTGCATATTTGTTGGATATCGTTTCGTTTGGTATCTTCTCGCTGAATCTCTCTCACTCTTACCCGAGCGTTGCGTATTTGACAAGCGTTACGGCGAGCGACGACTGCTCGACAACGCTGCTGCGCAAACAATCGACTAAAGACCAAACAGACAGCAGAAGTAGCACTAATGGTGGTGTAACGGTAAAATTCGCGCGTTACTTAGCGCGCGCGCAAACGCCGTTGCGGTTGCTACTATTGCTGCTATAAAAACAGTAAAAAAATAGCCAGTTCCTCGCGCATAACGGGACTTCCATTACACTATCACAACCAGTACAACGACGATAGCGATTACTAATACTATACGATTATAGTTACTATTATAACTAGCAAAACTAGTTCAACTGACGACGGTGCTTCAGCTGCCGAAGAGACTAATTACGAAGGACCTTGATCGACATTGTTGACGTCTTTCGTCGCCGTCCCCTTTCGCACCGCTGCCAGCATCACACCCAACCCGCTCCGCTACACCCCACGACGCGCTACGCCGCTTCCATCAACTGGCCGCGCCACCATTGGCAAAAGCACGGAAGAACGATTGCCCTCTTGCCCAATGGATCAAAAACACACAAGAACAGAGCCACAGCAGCAGCAGAAGCAGCGGTAGCAGCAAACGCGGCAGTCTCTTTGGATGGCGCTTTCGTCAGTCAGTCCGTTGGTTCGTCTTTTGCGCGCTGCTTTGCCCCGTACCACCAGCGGGAGGCAGAAATAGTAACAGAAGTAGTTATTAGTCTACGGTCTTTCTATTCGTAGTGATGTCCTGCAAATGGTGAGTTGGCGGTGCCGAGTGTCCATCCGTGCGCTACTAACAGTCAACGCCAAGTGGTCATGTAAGTCCGGGAGGTCTATAGGGGCAATACGGCGGCACAAACGAGGCGTTGCGGATCGGGGCTAAAAGAGCGACCGAAGCAGCGGCAAACACGGAAGAGAAAATCTGCATGAGGCCAAACAGAGAGGAATAACGGGAGACCGACAAATAGGTTGAACAATTATAGGGGGATCGCAATAACAGTTAATGGCATAAGAGTGAAACAATGACTCCTTACTAGGAGGTGCTGCTATACACCAGTGAATCGCCAGTATCGAGGAACAGGTATCTCGTGTGTTCAATAATTGTAAGGGAGCCATGATGATGGTGGTGTCGACTATTCGAATGGGGTCTTTAAAAACAATGGGGCTAAATGTAATGAATATCAATGGCGAGAAATAAAATATGGCTTATTTCTGTACGTGTATGTTTACTGTATGTAAACAGATGTTTGGAAATCTGCAAAATGCCCTATTGTAACAGGAATTGTTGACTGGGTTGAATGTTGTACCATTGAATTCATATGCTTAATACAAACGGCAAAGTACCACTACAGCCGAAACCGTGCAGTTAAGTCAAATGGTCACAATCGCGTGATAGTAAGTAGCCGTTGATGCCCAATATGTATAATATTGTACATTAATAATTAAGCCGGGCTTACTGACCGTGTGTACCGTACTAGCTATCCTATTTTTCATTAACTATTAGATGAAAAGCATCCGTTCTAACAAGTTCCACTCAACACTTCGTTCACCCTAAGCAAACTTCTAGCTTCTTACAGCCAGTTCCGTTGATGCGTCTGCTTGCAATAGACTGTGTTTCGCTGATACGTGCTAAACCTGTGAAGGTTAGCGAAGACCTCTGAAGTGGCAGTACTGGACCGATCGTTCTTCAGCCGAGCAAACCCATTCAGTCAGTCACATGTATGACAGATTAGAGCTGTCGCTGTACCCATTCCACACGCACATACATACAGATACACACCTGTAGACGCTGGGTCGGCCACACGAGCGTACGCACAAATAGAGGATTATTCGCTAGGCACAGCATTAAGTGGCCAGCAATCAACTTTCCTAAAATGTGATAACGTTAAACGGCGAAGAGCGACAACAGTATCGCTAGCGAGCGTTTACTGCTTGACTTATTGACAGTGTTACTAGGATCGAACGTCGCTGCTGCTCTTGTCGTTGATCGACTTCTGCAAATGTCGCCGCAGCAGCAGCAGCTGCTGCTGGGGAAGCGGTGGGTAACATTGCTGTTATCTGTGTGCTGGTTCTGCTGCGCGCCGGCCGGACTTAATTGCCGAGCTCGTTTCGCGTTTGACGTTCGTCTATTCCGTTTCACTTGAGCGCTCGGCTGGTCGCTCCGTCAGAGATGCAGGGGTGGAGAGGGGTTGAGTAGATATTTTATGTCAAGGTTACCACTCATGCGACTGCTGTGAATCGGTGTAACAGTGTGACCGATGTGTTCGACTTCGTCGTCAGTCATTTTTACGTCGGACAGTCGTCGATCAGGAGCTCCTACCGGCCGTTTGCCTGAAAGGACGGTCACCGGTGAGCGCCAGCGTTTAGCGAATGATGAGATTTGTTGACTGACCTATACTGCTGGTGGGGTAAGGAGGCAGTAGCAATGTTATTATTACACTGTCAAGCAAGTTAGTCTACGTTGTTAGTCAGGTTTTAAGCGAAAGAAGCTGCTAATGGCCAATGGTTTCCATCATCTTTTTACTGCCATGCTGAATCGCGCGACTGATGCGTTACGAAGCCCGGCATTATCAATACAGATTTCATGCCTGGCACCGTCTGCAACAAGCGTCGCGTAACTATTTCAGAGATTCTTAATCAACAGATCACTAATCTAGTATCTGTGCTGGTTGAGGGAAACAACAGCTCTCTTGGGTGATAGGCGACGACGACGACAGGAAAACCTTCCTGAATCTTTTTCAGGAAGAGTGTTCTCCATCGTACACTGTTGACATACGCTCAGATTTTGTTCAGTGAAATAAAAGGCGGAAACTTATGAAACTAGTGAAATATTGGCTT